GCGTAATCGAAATGAACGGGTGTTTAAGGGATATACATATGTATGTATGTAGAAATCATATAAATATATAAGCTATTTAAACTGTACTATTTATAAAAGGTATTGCTATCATTATTATTATTGCTTTAGGGATTATCAGTAACCATTCTGTAGGTCAAATACGTATAATGAGCTGCAGTAGCGGCTACTAGAGAATTTAGCCCCAGAGAGCTCGGGTTCAGAGCCTGAGAATTCACAAGGAGAACTATCGATGATATGGTTCACAGGGGTCGATCTTGGGACTAGACCTGTGGAATATCAGCTGCGGCGACATTTTATAGCTGAATATGCCTGATGAAACGATTCTTATTGGATATGCAGACGACATCATGGACATTATCTTTCTCCTAAAAATACTTATCCAAGTCTTGAACCTTGCTACTTGCTACCCAGAAAGCGGAGTTACTTCTGTGAACGGGGAGGCAGACTCTAATGGAAATAGAAATCGCTGTGAATTATATAGTCGCCTGGTGAAAGCGCCAAATAGAGTCTTACTATATAAGATATATGAGAATATATATGAAACTGGAACGGAAGTAGGAAATTAGATGGCAATGCTTAGGTAAAGCACACCCACACACACCTTAATGCAAGACAGCTCCTGTTTACAAGGTATAGAGCAGCCTTCGAAGAGGATGTTGCTTGGTCCATAAGATAACCAGATACAGCAGCCAGAGAGACGACCTGACTGACGGTGCATAAAGCATGTCTGCCAACCTCAGCTCCAAGGTGAAAATAATAATAACTATCGAACCGTATTCCTATAGCGCTTCACTGGTCAGCCCCGGAACAAGTATTTTCCTTAGGCAAAAAGCTTCCTCGCGCTACTCAACCAGATGTCAACAAGGCGGTAAAACTTTGTTTCTAGAATGCAAGACGCATGGCTGGCTAGAAAGGCTATTTCGGGATGCGTGCATTGAACGGGCAGCTGACATAGACAAAGGTGAGCCCCACACATGCCGTCGGCTTAACCCCTGCTGTGCATGCTAGACACAGCTCCAGGCACAGCTAATAGAACCTACACTGCTTGCTGCGGTTGCGGCTGCTGTAGGAGCTATTCATAGAAAGCTTCAGGCGGCGCAAAGAGGGAGGGAGTTCAGATGCCCGTCCGGCGGTTCCATTGGTAATGCTTGGTGTCAAGCACAGCGTTAACATTTCCGTTTGATGGAATTTCAAATGGCCTCCTGGAACAGCGGTTGATGCCATAGTTCATGTCAGATTAGGAAGGTATCTTCGATTTGGTCCTTAGATCGCCTGCTGTGCAGTTTATCCGATGTAGAGCTGTGATCGGTGTAATGGGAAAACCTGCTTAGGCTTTCCTCTCTATAGACTTGAATAATCTGAAAAGCTCTACAGGAATCGATTGTAGGGAGAGACTTATGCAGCATCTACTTTGATTACAGAAATAGACATTAAATGCCTAGAAATACCACCTTTGTCCACTCAAAAAGATTTCCTAGAGGCTTAAAAAGAACTTACCCAAATGATGGTTCGCCTGATTTACCTTCCGGCACTTGGAATCAGCTTTCCAGAGCACGGAGTTATTTGGCAATTATATGATTTGTATAGGAGTAAACGTATTGCGAAATCTAGAGATAATGGCTATACGACCAGAGCTCAGAGCACACTACTCACGGGACTCTAAGAAGCTAGAATGGACCTTAGACATAGCAAACTCAGCTCTGAGAGACAACTTCAACTTGTACTAAGTAAAACAGAAATGGCAACAAGCTCTTTGAGTAGTGTTGATTGAGCATATTGACGGACGAGCTGCAAGAAACTGGAGCCACAATACGGCTATATAGTATTGAAGTACGGGCGAAACATCAAAGGCCGATGTAAGCCGGAAGCAGTTTCCATTTGTCTACTCTATGTATACTTAACGCTATAATGCCTCTGATAATAGCTTTACGTATGGCATTGGCTTACCAAACAGTGTGTTTCCAAACGAAAACAGGTGCATTTGCGACAATCTAAGAGAAGAATGAACCAAACAGGCAGAGAGGATAAGTGAAGTCACAAAGGGAAATCGTTAAAGGTCTAAAGAGGTTGTATATACATGTATATACATATATGAATTTATTATATTCATTCACGAAAAAGAAAGGAGTATATTGGTGTTGTGCCATGTCGGGTCTATTGAAACTAGAAATTTTGTTTATATGTGCACGCTTGTACCCTATATTTTCCCGATAGTGGCGTGAGCAAATCAGAAAAAGGATCTGGCAGCTTTTGAGCCATGAATGAGTATTCTGCAGTCAGTATCAATCAATATTTCTTACAATAATCGTCGTTTTTTCAAAGATCTGC